TTGCCATGAAAACAACAAAACTCACTTACTAAAAGTTTCCAAATTCTGGAGGGATCAGGTAGAGAGAAAAAGATAAATATTTTAATTTTACTTACAAAGGTATCATTTACCAAATTGTTATAAGTCATAGCTAGCTCAGGAGAAAAGAAAAAAAGGTTTTCCTTAAATCTGAAAAAACAAAACATTAAAAATTCAGCAATACTTCAAATGAAAAATCGTAAAAATTATAATCATCCTTATCAGTTCATTCAGTCCTGTGTAATCCATTTTTCATCCCGATCTTTTTGTTAGCAGCTTCATGAAGTCATCAGTCTCTCCAGAGTTCTGTAATTTTTCACCAAGTTCAGTTTTATGATCAGAAAGTTTATCAGAAGCCTGTACTCCATTGTAACTGTCAGAATCCTTTCCATGAATTTTTCTGAAGTTGAAACATATATTTTGCAAAAGCATTAGAGCAAAGAAATAAGTCTGTAAACAAGACATCAAAATGGCAGTTGACAAAGAAATTTGGTTAATTTTGTGACATACAATACTTTAAAATAATAATAACCAGAATTATGACTGATAACCAGGACAGATCAGAATTTCAGTAATGTTATACAATTTTAAAACACCTATATCGATAACATTTACCCACAGAATACCACCTAAGCAGGTTTATCATCACTTGTCTGATAATGCTTTCTATGTAATTTAACATACTGAATAAGCCTAATAAGTTTAGTATCTTCCTCCTTATAGGTAGAGAGCAAATTTCTTTGTCTTCCTCCTTATAGGAAGAGAGCAAATTTCTTTGAGAAGTTCCAGGGCCTTTTGAAAATTCTCAAAGAAAAAAAGGTAAAAAAAGACTTTATTTAAGATATGAATTTTGGGGAGCTTGTCAAAAATATAAAAAGTCAAAGCAAACAGAGCATTAATGGTCCAAAAAGCGTTAACAGAGAGACCTCAGTCTTTTGAACACGGGAAATTATTTTAACAAAACAAAGACATCTCAGAGGTAAAGAAACTGTTTATAACCTCTCAGATGAAAAGTTCAAGAAAAATTATTATTTTAAGAGTAAGAAGACCAAATTTTAATTTTGTACCAGCTCACTTCTGATATTAAAACTCATTTACTTGATTAAATTCATTTTAATCTTAGCCAACTTGACCATGCATAAAACTCTTTTTCCAGAATTCCTCTTCCACAGACTTTTTATAACTTTCTTTTTACCTTCAGAATTTGTCCCATGTCTTTCTTTTCCCTCCTAGTACTTGAGGACAAATTTATCTTTCTTGATCAACCAAACAAAATATTTCCATTCTTTGTACCTTCTTTATACATCTTACTTTCCTTGTACACAGACATATTTTTCTTAATTTTTAGTAGCTTCAATCACATATACTAATTAGAAATTTTAACCCTTAGAAACCTTAATTTGTAAGTAAAAACTAAGTAAACAATTATAAACTTTTTTTACAGTAGCATTTCATGGCTTGATAAATTTATAAACACTTCAGAATTTCTAGAAATATGTTACTTTACAGTACAATCTTTTAATAAAGCACGTTTACCAATAGACCCAAAATACCTTTTAGTTTTCCTGTAATGAAAAGCCAAAAGTAGACAAATGTACATTTAGCAATCGATGTCTAATATCTTATCTTATTTGGAAATCATCTAGACACTCAATGAATTTTTATCATAAAATTTAGCAAAACTCTAAAGTTTTAAGTCACCAAAAAGAGTTTGGAAGCTGTAACCACCATAACACATAATTATCGTTTAAAGTTCACCCAACATTCATTTTTTTCACAACTATTTAGTTACTTGTTCCCAATAATTACTTAGATTGCCTGCAAGACTTCATAAGACATCAGATAAAATTAGCCATCATTTAAGTTACTATTTTTGTTAACCAGTTCTGTAATAGAAATAACATCAGTTTTTCTAAAAAATTTCATGTAAATTTCATCACCTCTTATACCTCTAAACATAGTTTTCATTGAGACTTTTATCAGTAGGTCTTGGTCTTATAATTTTGGACAAGGGAAACGTTCCCAGTCAGACATTTTAAAACATACTCAGGCAAAGTTGACGTAATCTCTTTATATAAAATTAGCTTAAACATTCCAACTTTTATAATCTTATCAACACTTAGACTTTTACATGTTCTCAATTCAATTATAACCTGAGTCAGGTCTTAAGGCTAGTCAAATTTTTCCCTTCTTTTTCTGGCCTTAATTCTTAGGTACCAATTAAATAATTGTGTGAGAGCTCTCAAAACATTTTTTTTCCCCCCAATTTAGAAGTTTTTCCAATTCAAAGGATCCGTTGTCTGGCCATTGACGAATAGGATCTTCATTTGTATATTTATTCCAATAGTGACTCAATCCAATAAGCCTTTTTAAGGAAAGACCTGGAGGTAACTTTCCACACTTAGAATAAATCTTTCCCATGGATGCAAGAGGCGTCCCTGGTGAGGGCGCAGATGATGTAGCCCCCATGATCCACAGAATTCACTCCCAAAGATATTCAGAGAAAGTAAAGACTTCGTTGCACAGGCGGTGAGGATGGTATGGTGAAAACGGTGTCTCTGGTCTCCCACAATAGTGTGGGACGCTTCCAGTCACAGACCCGCTAATCTGTGACACCAGGCAGGCGATACTGGAATGGGATTTTTCCAGCACTAATAAGCAACGAAGATTAAGACGACAAAAGCCCTTATGGACTGTGCCCTTTATGACAAACTCCCCTAAGAACTTGGCACAGCCAGACAAAGACAGTTCGGAACCCCAGTCTACTCGACTGGCCACCAAGGTGCACTCCGGTAAATGCACCTCCCGTATGGTGGGGACCAAGGAGAACATTCTCACTGGTCACAAAGCCAAGTTCTCAGGACACAGAACAAGACAGAGACTACTCTGGGAGGAAAAGGGATCAAGATCAAAACCAAGAGTATTCTACCAAATTTACTGGAATCACTAAAAGCACAGGAAACTAGTTTCCCAAATATTTTCTCCTGCCAATCTAAATTTAGAAAGAGAAAAAAATTCTCACTGCTTGCTTGATCTCCCACACTGGTATTTTAAAATTGTAATGAATTGGATGACCATGATTGACTTTTCATTTGAGCTACTTGGTCTGCTCTTCAAGAGTTGTTAAAGTTGTTTTAAAAACGTGTGTAAGAGCCTCAATGATGAGTTCGTGTTTCAGGTGTTCCAGGAAGGAGGCCTCATTTTGAATAGTGATAGTTTAAGATGCCTCTGGAGTTGACATGTGAGTAACCCAGTAAGGTTATTCTCATACACATAATTTTGTCTTAGTAGAGGAAAAATGAAATTTTGTATTCCCTAATCCATAGAAAAAGTTGATTCCAGGTAAAATTTAAATAGAAATGTAGCTTCTGTTGACTTTGCCTGTGATGAGATGAAAATGTAAATTAAAAGTGCAAAAGTCATATGTAAATTAGAAAACACTTAGCAAAGATATGTTATGGTTACTGATATAAAATTCCAAGGTTACCAAACTTCTTAAACTACCTTAAGGCCAAAATTAATGCGTTTGGTGACTTTTTTGCACTTACTGTTTTATTGCTTTGATGTGGAAAGACTAACAGTCAAAACAAGTTGGACCGGGTTGCCAGAGCACGTTTTCTTTTATTTGCGTGTTTTAGCTGAGGCTTGCCTTCCCTCAACTCTTTTGGCATTTGAGGTTGGTTGCTCAATTTTTTCTTGGTTTCTTCACTCAGCAAATTGGTGTCTTGTTATTCTTAAAAACTTCTCAAGACTTTGCCTTGAATTCTGGGCAAGGAAGTGGAGGAAAGGACAATATTAGTAATCTTCTGGATGGAAAATAAGATAGAAGATGCCATTGTAAAAGCACAGAAATCAATACCTAAAATGCAAAATAAATACACCAGAAAATAACTTTTTGATTCTATTAGAGTGTTGTAAAATTGTAGAGGCTAATAAAAAAGAAAAATTGAAATGATAAGCTGTCAGCACTGTCTTGACTCTCAAGCCTGTGTGCTTGTGGCTACCTTGATGATGGGGTGTTCATGAGAGAGATTCCATGCTTATTCAAGGGCTCTAAACTGAACTGTAGAATGTGCCTTTCTTTGAACTGTCAGTGTGTATTGACAGACCAGTGGAAATGGTAGTCTGGCCCATGAGTTGAATTTGCAGTATACCGTTGCTGGTCATTTAATAGATAGAAGAGAGGTGTGAAAAAGAGTAGTTGGACAGCAGTGCACAGAGAGATTTCCAAGCTGCTTGACCCAAGGGAGAGTTTCATTGTTACGCAGGATGTCCTCTGCAGTCTTGGGTCTAGCCTGCACGAGACTGTTGTGATTTGAAAGCAGATTAAAGCTTTTGCGCAGATTTGATCTGTTCTTATACTGGCTCATTACAATGAGGGGAAGCAGACTTAGGGGATTACTTTGTGATGAATTTCAGTGCTGCTGGATTCATTGAACTGATTTAGAACTAAATCAAATACTTTAAGAGTTGTAAAGTGACTAAGAAGATTAATACTTAAAAGCTTTCTGGGCCTTAAAGTCTATAAGATACCTTGTATGTTTATGGGACAGTTACAATCATGGAATGTAGAAGGATCTAGTGAATGAAGAAAATAGAATACATTAGATAAAATCCAGATGGTTTATTTTAAAGACCTGTACTATCCAATGCCTTTTTAAAAAGTCAGGAGTATATTTGTATCCTTCTTTGCTTAGTGAAGTCTTGATGGCATTTGCTAACTCAGTGCTTCTAAATTAAATCCTTGAGTCAAACTGAAATAGACCCTATTGGTACATTTAGATGGCAAAAGTTATTTAGGTGAAACTGTTAGCATTATAAATATCTGTATATGTATATCCATTTCTAATATCCTAATTCAGACATCTCCATCCTTTAGGAAATAGGAAAGCCTGTTTCTGGTGTTCTCTTATTGCCCAAGCAATGCAATCTTTATTTCCTGTCTTGCAGTGACAACTGCTCATTATTGGCTCTTCGCAGGTCACCGACAAGGAGCAGGAGTTTGCTGCTGGAGCTGCAAAGCAGCTTGAATATCAGCAATTCGAAGACGATCAACTTTCTCAGAAATCATCTAGCAGTAAACTATCTCGATCTCCGTTAAAGGTCGTCAAAAAGCCTAAAAGCATGCAGTGCAAAGTGGTACTTCTGGATGGATCAGAGTATACCTGTGATGTGGAGGTAAGTGAAGAGTTTGCAACTTTTACTTCCCTGATATTGAGAGCTGGGGCATGTTGGTATAAAACGCACAAGATGCCTCTTTATTTGTTTCAGAACTCTGGAAAATGACTCAGACTCGGTTTCTAAATACGAAATTTTTTCCAAAATCTCTAACGGGATCAGATTAATAAAAATACTTATAATGTCCCCAAAATGTTACAATCAAAAGAAAACTGTGATCTTCTTTAAAAAAAAAAAAATCTCTAACACTTTCCAAAAATCAAGTTTTTAAAAATATCTTGGCTATGAACTATCATTTAAATGAATTTTGCCTTTTCTATTGGGATAATTTATAGCCAAGTCAATTGTTTATTGGTAGAAACTTGTCAATTTCTGTACATGCAAGCAGTAGGATAATTTGAACTGTGAGTGCCGTTTTCTTGCTTAGAGAATGAGTAATTTGTAAAATGCACATTGTGGTGTTGAGCATTGCAAGTTAAGTGTTCTTATTGTAAAGAAAACTAAAATTCCTCTGAGAAGGGGCAGTTGAATAACTTTTGTCAGAGAAGTTTAGCAAGACCAAGTTAATAGGTGAGAACAGCACAGCCTGTCCCTAGCAGTGGAGATCGATGATTGCTGAGTTCTCCGAGTATCATGGAGAACACATACAGGGCATGAACTCAAGCCATAGGAGTAGACCTGTGTGTGTGCACCACCCATGGCACCTTCTCCCTATAGCTGGGAAGGAGCAGTTTGCTCTTTTAGCAAGGTAATTCAATTTCAGCTTTAATGTTTTCCTTCAAAGTGCTCATTCCTCCTGCCTCCAACCCCTGCCCTTTGTTATACGGGGACATCACACATCCCTGTGCACCAGCCCCTCCCCCCGCAGGCTTACACAGTTCACCTCTTCTGCTGGGTGTGCTGAGAGCCTCTCCCAGTAATATTATAAGAGTAGTAGTCTCTGGCCGGCAGTGTACGTCTCTGGGTTGTCACACGTTTCTATTCCTCTTTCCTCATGACACAGCCAACACAAACTCACCTGATTTCCCATGTCCCACATTCATTCCTCTCTGCTCTCTCTTTGTCTGCAACCCCCATATCATTTCTGTTATATTTTGCATAATGCACTCATGCACTCACTGCTCTTCTTGGAACAGAAAATTCAAATCTGTGCACAGGGTGTAATAGGTAAACAGAGGTTGAAAAACATTGCCCTAGGGAAGATGTCTTTCAGTCTCTGCTCTCCTCTAAACTGAGTTTTATCCAAGTCTTGGATGAAGGTGCTCAAACACGGAAAAACAGCTGAATGTGTTTTTTAAGTGATACAGAGCTGAAAAGGGACTGTCGGCCTGTGTGTCCGAGTCCAGGTTTCTCGTGTAGTGGCCAGTGTGGAACACTAAAGCAAAGCAACAAGATAACATCTACCAGGAATGGAGGTAAAACTTCACTCTGTTTTTAAGGATCATGTGCAAATAGGGATGGGTTTGGAGGAAGAGGTGGTCAAACTTAGTAACAGCTCAGTTGAAACTCATCTTTGGCTTGAAGTTGATTACAGGCTCAGCACAAACCAGCCATGCGGTGTAGCTGTCCGAAATGCTCGTGCCATCACAGGCAGCTTCTGTGTAGTATTTGGTTTACCAAAGGCAGCAAGTCGCCCCGTTCCCTGGGCTTCCGAGGTCCCATTTGCAGTGTCTTTTTTATGCACACTTTGCAGACTGGGGTGTGAAAACGGACTTGTCCAGTTGTAACCTGTGTGATTTCAAGGACCTTCCTTAAACTTTCTGAACCTCTGTTTCCTCACCAGAAAAATAGGGGTGAAAATATTTGCCTCTAAAAGATGTTATTGAGAAGAATAAAGCAGATAATTTATTTGAACATTTTCTGGGATGTAGCATATTGTTGATAAATGGTAGCCGTTTAATAATATTCGTAGGAGCAGTGAACTCTGACTTGAGCTTATTCAGCAGAGAGTTATAGGATGGTGAGCGATCTGGAAACCTTCCCATGAAATGTGTTGAATATAGAAACAATAAGATTTAGAGGAGACAGGACAGCTGCTTTCAGTTACCTGGAAAGGTGGTCATTGAATGTCATAATTTTGGTTTTTTTTAACATGTAGAAAGTAAAACAAAGGTGGAAGTTACAGGAAGTCAGATTTTTAAATAATCAGAAAAAGAATGTTTTAAATTATTGCTGTCGACTTTGTGATGATTTATGCTCTGCCGGTAGGATTCCAGCAGAAACTGTAGGTGCATTTATGGAAACCAGCAGTTCCTTGGATGCAGTCTCAGACCAGATAACTTCTAGTGCCCCTAAGACTCGTGGTGAGAAGAGACACAACAATCTGAATTGGAAAAGCAGAATTGCTTCCCTAATCCTTCCCTAATCCCTCTCTCCAACACGTGCAGTTGTAGGTGAATTAAGAACAGAATGCAGGAGATCATAATAGACGTAACTTTTGTTGCACTTAACAAGGCATCAAAAAAGGCATTTTATTTTCCTCTGTTCTTTTTTTGTTTTTGTGAGGAAGATCAGGCCTGAGCTAACATCCGTGCCCATCTTCCTCCACTTTATATGGGACGCCGCCACAGCATGGCCTGATAAGCGGTGCGTCGGTGTGCACCCGGGATGCAAACCCGGGCTGCCAGCAGTGGAGTGCGCGCACTTAACCGCTACGCTATGGGGCCGGCCCCAAGGCATTTTATTTTAATGAATCCCTATGCCTACGTGTTTTTCTCCATGGCTTATTTAATGCCTGCATCACTTCACCATCAAAATCAACATGACTCAATTCTGCCGTGACTTCATCATTGGAATTTATAGTCCCCTATAAAGGACCCTCTGCCAACATGCGCGCACACACACACACACACACACACACACACACACACTGTGGAATAGCACAGCCCGGTTCTCCTTCCTTTCTTTTGAAACCGCAGGTAGCATTTCCCCTGGCCCAGCAGTGCTGCAGTGGGAGAAGCCCAGCAACCCAGAAAAGCAAGATAAGAGGAGTGGTTGCTCCCTGGGAGCAATGACCGAACAGTTATTAAGTCCCCGCCCCCAGTGTTTTGGTGTTAGCCTTTTCAGATTTCAGATTTTTCTCTAGCAGAAGGCTTAGATCATTGTAGCATTTGAGAGACATTTTCCTCAGTGATTTTTTTCCAACTTAGTCTTGATTATGTAAAATATAAAAAGATCTTATTATGAGTAAGATGTAAGAAAATATAGTAAAAGATCTTATTATAAGTAATTTGATATATATGTTTAGGAAGTGTTTGCATGCTACCAGATTTTCGTACATGCCAACAAAATCACTAATAATGTCATTTCCTCCTCCTTATTTTTATTAGACTGTTAGAGAACACAAGCAACTTCCTGTAGCCAGTTTGCTATCATTGTTACTGTTATGTTTCGAACATAAATTTTTTGTGTGTGTGTGAGGAGGACTAGCCCTGAGCTAACATCTGATGCCAATCCTCCCCCTTTTTTCTTGAGGAAGAGTGGCCCTGAGCTAACAACCGTGCCCATCTTCCTCTACTTTATATGGGACGCCACCACTGCGTGGCTTACCAAGCAGTGCATCGGTGCACGCCCGGGATCCAAACCTGCGAACCCCAGGCCGCCGAAGCGGAGCACGCGGCTTAATTGCTTGCACCACCGGGCTGGCCCCCAAATATAAATTTTAAAAGACATAATAAACAAAAATTAAAAAAACCCCAAAAACAAGCAATAGAGGAAATAGCACTCATCATATTGATTTGTCCTGTTGCTTCCATGTTGGGTGGACTCCTTTGAGTCTGACTGATGAGCACACAACATATTTCCTGATGACCATCCAGTTGGTAATGTTTTCTGTTATGTGGGCACCATTCTAATCTAGTCTGATTTGGTTTTAGGAAAATGATCTGAAATTTGAGTCCATAGTTCATAATACTGTATAGGTTTGCTGCTGCATATATAAAATTTTTAGGCTATTTTATGGTGTAATTTTGTCTGCTCTCCACAAAAAAACCTAATTGGTGGAGGGGTCTAGAGTATGACAGGAGAAGTGACAGGGGGCTTCCTCATAAGGGCCTGCCCTGTTTCTCTGTGCAGGGGGGACCTCCGTGAGCTCTCCTCAGCCCCTACCTGTGGTGGATTCAGTAGTGAGGGAAACTTAGTGCTTAGGAGACCCAGGGAGATCTGCACGGGGCTAGCACTCCAGCAGGAGATGCCAGTGAATCAACCACACTGGAGAAAGATTTGTATCTAGATTGGGGCAAATCAAAAAGAGCTACTTAAGGGGCCGGCCCCATGGCCTAGTGGTTAAGTTCAGCACGCTTTGCTTTGGTGGCCCGGGTTCGGTTCCTGGGTGCAGACCTACACCACTCATTGGTGGCCATGCTGTGGTGGTGACCCACATACAAAATAGAGGAAGATTAGCACAGATGTTAACTCAGGGTGAATCTTCCTCAAGCAAAAAGGGGAAGGTTGGCAACAGTTGGTCAGGGCGAATCTTCTTCAGCAAAAAAAAAGAGCTACTAAGGTGCAACAATAAAACCAGAAAAGCCTGCCCCTCAGGTTCAGCCCTCTCCAGAGGCCTGCTGGTTGAATGGGCTCCATGACTGAGTACCATTGAGGACGTCCAGGATGGCCTGGAATCTGGACTAAGCACCAAAACAGTGGAGTTGACTCCAACAAGCATTTCTTGATACCATCCAAAGATGCTTCTAAGGAACCAGAGAGGGTAAGGAAATTCATGGCACTGTGTCCTAAATGTGCCTTTGTCACCTTCTGATGGTTAGGAAGGGACTGTTTAAAAAATTTCCAAATGCTCTGTCTTACCTGTGATTCAATTAACTGTCCAAATCATGCTTCTATTTCATGTACTCCACTTACTGAGATTTGGTGGAAAATCAAATTCAGTGTCTGAATTTTCCAACTTCTATAGGTTACATGATTAAAATACCTTAGAATCCTTTTGGAAGTTCTTGTCTAGACAGCAGATAGAATTGCCATAATCCAGAAAGTTGATTAGAGTA